GAAAATATAACAATTGCTTTTCGAGATGATTTCATCTATCTGCTTCGTTTTGAAAAACAACATTAGCTTTTCCCCCTTTTCACCATTTTACAACTTTTTTAACTCCGGCAACAGTAAATGAGCCACTACCAAAAGCCACAGTATTAGCCACATTTTTAGCAACTGACACTACAAACCTTGGCTTGTCTATATCTGCGAGTTCGTCTTTGGCTTTTTTAGATAACCCAACACAAGCATAACAACTAGTTATACTTTCTTCTAATTTTTCCAATGCCTCTAAAAATTCTTCTTTCAAATTTTCTTTCTCAGTAATTTCCGTTTCCAACTTTCTTTCTAATTCTAATATTTTATTTTGTAATTGTTGAACTTGATTTTCTTCTTCGCTTTTTAGTTCACTTACCTCCTCAAATGGCTTTTTATTTACCTCAATAGGCATTAAATTATTGTCTTTTGGCATATTTTTGTATTTATTATTTTTCGTTTATTTTGCTAATTTTTAACAGAAGTAGCCACTGTTTCAAAAGTTTAGTTTTATAAAGAACAAGACTTAAAACCTTGCTCGATCTGATATTTATTCTTTCGCGACAGTGACTGTCGCTGGATTGGATGTTCGTGGCAAATAAGCCAAAATTTTCTTAACATGGTTAGTCTCCATAAATTACCTTATAATTATAGTTTTATATAGTTTTTAGATTTCCTTATAAGGGGAATATTGAACCAAAAAAAGATATTTTTCACTGAATAAATAATGAAATAATGAAAAATATCTATATGACAACCTTAAATTTAAAAAATATCACCATTAAAAAATTAGAAGATAAGAACTTAAAACCTTATTATTTGATTGTCAATAACGAGAATTTAGATGAGGCTTATTTCTGTTTTGAGGGAACGGTCAAAGATGGTTGGGACAGTTTAGTAAATAATTGAGAGAATATTAGAGAAGTTGAGATAGAGTTTGAGGAAAAAGAGAATAATTTCAAGGTTTACCGGAAAGTGGTGAGTGTTTATACTCCAAGCGAGGGAGAATTTATTGTTTAGCAACGGACTTTTTACAAATGGTTTATAAGGATTTTAAATGAGCAAACAAAGAAAAAGACTAAATAAGATTTTAAAAATCTGAAACTGAATAAAAATTACTTCTTTATTGCTGGGACTAATTTGTGGCAGTGTTCTAATTTATCAATATTGAACTAAACGGCAAGAATTAGAGAGATTACAGGTTCAATTAAAAGAACTAAAAGAACAAGCCCAAAAGCAATATCAATTACAAGAAAATTATTTTA